AGGTAAGTATTAACATATTTATGGAGTATTGTACATGAAACACAGCACTGTGTGTAAAAAAAAAAATCCATCAAAAAAATCTTTGTGTTTGGCAGACAAATCTTGAAAAGATATGTCGTACACTGGAAGATCAGTTGAGCGAGTTTAAGACAAAGCATGATGAACATGTACGACACATCAATGATATAGGCGCTCAAAAGGCAAGACTTCAAACTGAAAATGGTAAGTAGTTTTGTTTACAGAAGGGATAATATTACATTCTCTATAATCACCTATTCAACATTGCAGTTATTGTTGAGACCATCATCTTTATTGATCATCACCATTAAATCCTTTCTAGGTGAAATCGGACGTCAATTAGAGGAGAAAGAGGCTTTAGTTTCTCAGCTGACTCGAAGCAAACAGGCTTACACTCAGCAGATTGAAGAGCTGAAGAGGCAAATTGAGGAAGAAGTGAAGGTGAGGAATCAGCATTTTCTTAATGAATGAACTTATGTACTGAACCTACTGAATAACTCTGGAACATTTTTATTGTTTTAAAGGCCAAAAATGCCCTGGCACATGCTATCCAATCTTCCCGTCATGACTGTGATCTGCTCAGAGAGCAGTACGAGGAAGAACAGGAGGCTAAATCTGAGCTTCAGCGCAGCATGTCAAAGGCCAACAGTGAGGTGGCTCAGTGGAGAACCAAATATGAGACTGATGCCATTCAGCGTACTGAAGAGCTTGAGGAAGCAAAGTAAATTAAATCCTCTGTTTAAATGTTCTCACAACTTGAAATAAAGTAGTAGCAATGACTAATATTTCATTTTTGATCCTAGGAAAAAGCTTACTCAGCGTTTGCAGGACGCTGAAGAGTCCATTGAGGCTGTGAATGCCAAATGTGCCTCTTTGGAAAAGACCAAGCAACGACTGCAAAATGAAGTTGAGGATCTCATGATTGATGTGGAGAGAGCTAATGCTTTGGCTGCCAACCTTGACAAGAAACAAAGGAACTTTGATAAGGTAAAGCAACATGATTTCAATTACATAAAATATTTTTGTGATGCACCTCACCATAGGTTTGTAATGTTCAATTTTGATGTCATAAAGGTCCTGGCAGAATGGAAGCAGAAGTATGAGGAGAGTCAGGCAGAGCTGGAAGGATCTCTGAAGGAAGCTCGTTCTCTCAGCACAGAACTTTTCAAAATGAAGAATTCTTATGAGGAGGCTTTGGACCAGCTGGAGACTCTAAAGAGGGAAAACAAGAACCTTCAGCGTACGTACAATGGTTTACTGCAGAATTATCCGTGAAATTTTCTTTTGCTTGTTAGATCTTCTCCAGAATAGTAAGTTTGAACACTTTGTTAATCATGTGTCCCTTCGTGTATACAGAGGAGATCTCAGATTTAACTGAGCAGCTTGGTGAGACTGGAAAAACTATTCATGAGCTGGAAAAAGGAAAGAAAACCGCTGAAATTGAAAAATCTGAAATCCAGGCCGCTCTTGAAGAAGCTGAGGTAACACATGGGGCTTGAAGTTTTTTACACTTCCATTATCTCCACTGTTCAAGCAAACAATACCCTACAAACAATCTTAATTTTCAGGCGACACTAGAGCATGAAGAATCCAAGATTCTTCGTGTTCAGCTTGAGCTGAACCAAGTAAAAGGGGAAATTGATCGGAAATTGGCTGAGAAGGATGAGGAGATTGAACAGATCAAGCGAAACAGCCAGAGAATCATTGATTCCATGCAGAGCACTCTGGATGCTGAAGTCAGAAGCCGAAATGATGCCCTGAGAATCAAAAAGAAGATGGAAGGAGACCTCAATGAGATGGAGATTCAGCTGAGCCATGCAAATCGCCAGGCTGCTGAAGCTCAGAAACAGCTGAGGAACGTCCAGGGTCAACTCAAGGTTTGTTCCATTACAGAAGGTGTATTTTTTATCTGACTAATTAGATTAGAAGATCTAATTGCCTCTTATTTGCTTCAGGATGCTCAACTCCATCTTGATGATGCTCTGAGGGTTCAAGAGGACATGAAAGAGCAGGTTGCCATGGTAGAGCGCAGGAACAACCTGATGCAGGCTGAGATTGAGGAGCTGAGAGTTGCTCTGGAGCAGACCGAGAGAGGCCGCAAAGTGGCCGAGCAGGAACTGGTGGATGCCAGTGAGCGAGTGACTCTCTTACACTCCCAAGTAAGAAGAATGATTTGTTTTAAGAAATATTTTAAGAAATAACTCCTAAACAACATTATTTTTTTTAACATTTTCTTCAGAATACCAGTCTTATCAACACCAAGAAGAAGCTGGAAGCAGATCTTGTACAGATTCAAGGTGAGATGGAAGATGTGGTCCAGGAAGCACGAAATGCTGAAGAGAAGGCAAAGAAAGCAATAACTGATGTAAGTGAAAAATGCTCATTGATGAGTTAGCAATGTTTGCTACTATTTGCAGGATAAGTATCTACTAAGTTGCACATATTTCTATAACCTCCCGTTGACTACTAATTATTAACATATTCTCATTAACCAAAGTAACCGAGTACAAAATGATTCCAGGCTGCCATGATGGCAGAGGAGCTGAAGAAAGAGCAGGACACGAGTGCTCATCTTGAAAGGATGAAGAAGAATCTGGAGGTTACAGTCAAAGACCTGCAACACCGCCTGGATGAGGCTGAGAGTCTGGCCATGAAGGGTGGAAAGAAGCAGCTCCAGAAACTGGAGGCCAGAGTATGTGGCTATACATTACACACAGTACATTCACTTACTTTATCACAAGCATAAAGTCAGGAATAATGTCAGTTAATCTGTTTTTCAGGTTCGTGAGCTGGAGGGCGAAGTTGAAGCGGAACAGAGACGCAGTGCTGATGCTGTTAAAGGAGTCCGCAAATACGAAAGAAGAGTGAAGGAACTGACTTATCAGGTACTTATCAAACAAAAATATGTATATAGATATGGTAAACGACCAAATTAAGACACTTTCTAGTTAATTTTTTTCTCTTACTCAGAATGAAGAAGATAAGAAGAATATTATCAGACTGCAAGACCTTGTAGACAAACTTCAACTGAAAGTCAAGGCCTACAAGAGACAAAGTGAAGATGCTGTGAGTGATTTTAGACTTTTATCAGTGATATGCTATTTAATATGCAACAAAATATTCTGGATATGATGAACCTAAACAAGTGTTGTTTCATTGGCAGGAGGAACAGGCCAACACTCACCTGACCAGATTCAGGAAGGTGCAGCATGAGCTGGAGGAGGCTCAGGAGAGAGCTGACATTGCTGAGTCTCAGGTCAACAAGCTGAGAGCTAAAAGCCGTGAATTTGGGAGGGTAAATATCACAATTTTATTGGTTTCATTATTTGTGCACAAGCATGTTGGTATTCATAAACTTCATTATTTGGGATTATTATTATTATTCATTATTATTATATTTTGTTATCAAATATATGTTCTATATGTTTCCAGGGAAAAGAAGCTGAGGAATGAGGAATGAGAGCTGGCAGAGAAACAAGAACTCGTATAATATGAAATTATTTGTAAAATGCCCACAAGAACCAGTAACTAATAAAACATCGTATGATCTGATATGTCTTTGTGTTTTTTGTGTGTGGTAAATATATGTTTACATTTGTGACTATGTTGTTTCATTTTCATGACTAAAAAAACACAAGAAATTACAATTTGTGAGGCAGTGTTTCTGGTTCTACATGATTCCAATAAAATGTGCTTTTGAGGAAGTGCGGATCAATATATACCCGTGATTGGACACATCCCAACTTTATGGTAAATTGAAAGATCTATTGAAAGACATATAGACAGAACACAGAAAAACCTTGTAAGAAAAAAAGTGGTTTGAAGTTGAACCTGCTGTTAATAAATAAAACTGCACAGCTATGCTTATGACAGACCTGTCTAGCAACTTACCTGATAGCCACATTAGCATCCAGCAAATTAAGTACACATAATCCACAAGCCACATTAACAGAACTCTCAAAAGAACTGCACCAAATTACGAAAGAAACGCAACTTCATAAGAAACTTCATTTTTTTAACCTATTTTATTCAAGCTCTCCACTAAATACGAGATAATGTTTTGACCACCAGGGGTTGCTATTAATCGCTCTAACTGTTAACTGCTTCTGTTATTTCTGTTATGGCAAGTTCAACGGAATGATTGTCGATTCGGTTCTATCGAACAGTTCGTAAAAAAAAAACGTATTCACCAATTCGTTTACGTCTTTTGGAGAAATTGTGTAATTACATTGTCAGACATCCCAGCATGATGCTGAACATATTGCTGTTCATTAAAACGTTTCATTAAAAAAGACGGTTCTCATTTCAATGAGATTTTCCATTTTCAATGAGTAACTTTAGTTGTTGATTCAAGACCAATGAACAATTATCCAAGATCAGTTTGTGAACCTGTTCAAGATTCGACTCCAAAGAACAGCTCATTCACGAATCGAACGTCGGTAGAGTTTGGCATGAGCAACATAGATATAAACATAGATGCCTTATTTGGAGCGGTCCGACGCATGTATGACTATAATGATGATCTATGAATATCTATATATGAATTAGACTTTTTGAAAATTATGATTTTGCTAAACTAACACAATACAACAAGAGAAAGGGGTCAGCTGACGCAATATTAAATAGTTACCATAGTAAAAGTAAAAAACATTAAAAGTACCATTGTTAAAACTTGTTATATTGAGTCAATATATAAAAATACAAACCAACACATTCTCACATGTGAAAGGTAATCCAATTTCTTCGGGAAATTAAATCTCTGCGGTTTCACAAGCAGAGTTGTGCAATGTTGTGGCATCATTGAGAGTGACGACCCTCTGACCGTTGCAAGATGGCGGGCGCACCGACGTGTCTGGAGCGGTGGGATGTGACATCTACGTACATATGATACTATCTATGATGAGCAGTGCGTCGAGGATGCCCGCAGTTGTCAGGTGAATGGCGTCCTTCGAAAGTCCAGTCAGCTGCACTTTCACTTCGAGATGTATAGCCAAGAAAGCTGTCATATAAATTCAAATTATTATAAGCAGACACTACAGGATCTTCCCAACACGGATTATGAGGAGAACGAATTTCAAAATGGTGCTTCGGCGCAACGGTTCGCAGGATAATAGAAGCTGCGCAGTTGCTATAATCACGCGTCTCGATGTAAACAAGAGAGTGAAATTTGACAACTGGAAGTGCTGAGTAAGCCAGAGAGTGTCATGCTACCACAAACCGGAGGTACGCTTATACTGACGAAAATAATTGTTTCCAAAATGTCTTTATCCGTAGTTTAAAGCAGCGAGTTTTATCGAAATTATTTTGTATCTGTTCGTGTAAGTTAGTTAACAATCTTTTTACAAAGGTAGCAGTTAGTGTTTTAGCAGCTAGTCTGCTGCTGATCTCTTCTGAGTGACGTCTGTTTTAATGCGGGGTTTTTCTATCTGTCGAATACCTGCCAAATACCAGCTATACATTTTACCATAATATTCTTTTGAAAACAGATTTAAACAGTGTTTTTTAAACCGACCAATAAAAGTGTCGTCTGCTAAAATGATGGAACCCCAGGACAATATTGAAGAGGATGACACCGCATCATCAGCATCAGCATCCCCGCCACCCCGGTCTCTGCCCCGTCAGCGCGTCTCTCTGCAGAAGAGCAGCGTGTGTTCTCGTTCTTACTTCATGGTGGTGATGGTTTTCTTCCACGTTTACATCATCAATGTCATTGCACTTCTGCTGTATGTTCATTATAATAACGGCTCTAACACAAGCACGGCAAACCTGGATTTTACAAACAGAGATAACAGTCATAAAGTTACCGGACCGTCAGATGCGCAGACCCCTTCAGACTCGGGCTTCCCTCGAAATATGTATCTTCCTCGCATTGAAGGAATACGGGTAAGGAGTATACATTAGATGATTTGGAGATCTGTGAGTATTTATAATCGTTTATCTTCCAAAAACTACAGTCTTTTTTTATTTTTTTATTAGGTGGGACATGTCCAAAAAGTGTCACTGGTACCAGGGAAAGTCCATGAAATGAAGACACTCAGTCTAAAGCCCCTTCTGTTTGGTAAGGACAGCCCCCCCCCCCCCCACACACACACACACACACACACACACACACACACACACACACGCCCAAAAAAAAGTCTGTTATCAAGTCATCCATAACCTGTATGATTTTCTTTTCATGAAACACACAAATGAAGATATTTCACAGTGTCCATAGTGCACTTTTTAATACAACAATACTAGACAAGGGCTGTTGAGAGGACAAAAAAGTACCATAAAAGTAGTCATGTGCTGTGTGCAATTGGTCCTAATTGCACACATATTAATCCTAATATGGCTAACATCCACTTACCTACTTTCAGCAAATTGGTCACAACAATTGAATGAACATTATGTCACCAAATTAATATTCATGGCCCGTTTACACCAAGAACAATAATGATAACTATATTAGTGTCCACCCAAATGTACAATAACGTCTTGTTTATAATATAAGAGTGCACTGCAGTTGTCATTTGCCGCTTTAAATGCTCACGCTCTTTAAAGTTGGATGGATTCTGATTGGCTGTCAGTGTTTTTATCTTTCATTAGCTGTAAAAAACAAACAAACTATTATTTCAGTGATTTCAATAATATAGCTGCGGTGTGGACTTCACTATTCACATAGAATTAAAACAATTATTAAAACTTTAATACTCATTCTAATTGTATGAGAATAGTGGGTCCACAGCACAGTTATAACAGATGACATAATCGCAGTGTATGCTTGCTTATAATAAACTAAATTTTTATCGCTTATTGGTGTGTGGACACTAATATAGTTATCATTATAGTTCTTGTTCGTGATGTGAAAGATCCTTAATAATAAAGCTTCCAATGTTTCCCTCACTATTTTCAGATTCTTGCTCTGGCCCTGCGTACAACTTTAATGTAAAAATGTAGTAACAAAAATGCATTATTTTTATTCATAATTCCCAATATGCATAAAAAATGAATGAAAAAAAAAAGCATGAATGAAAGGTATCTGCTAGAATTTCGATTTTTGGGTGATCTTATGAAATTAAACGTTAGCCTAGTCTTATTGGCATGCATGCATGGTTTGCTATTAGGGTTTTTGTGTTTGAAGCATCATTGTGGCTCTGTTTGTGTGTGTATTGCTGCAGAGATCCCTGGCTTTCTATCAGAGGAGGAGTGTGGTGTAGTTGTGCGTTTGGCTCAGCTGAAGGGTTTGATGGAGAGTCAGGTTATGGTCCCTGAAGGTCAAGAGGAACTTAATCAGCAGCTTAACCTCAGTCCTGAGGAAATCTTCAATTTCCTTGACCTCAACCAAGATGGCCAACTACAACCTCATGAGGTTTGGTTTTGCAGTTTGATAATGCTGAGAAAATGTAATGTGTAAATCTTTCTTTATGTTTGTTCATTTACTTTACGTGTAATCTGTAACTTGATTTTCTGGTGTAGATATTGACACACTCTCGAGTGAGAGATGGAATCTGGTTAACTTCTGAGAACCTTAAGGAAATCTATGATGGCCTAAAAGTTGATCAGGATGGAAATGGTAAAGACCCAAGAGTTAGATCTTAAACGGACACCCAATAGACATAGATCATAGTTTGCCAATTTGAGTGTCCATATGTATGTTTTGAGTATATGTGTCTTTTGACGCAGGTCTCTTGAGTTTAGAGGAGTTTGGGCGTCTGAGAAGTGATGCCTTTCAGCGTTTTCTGCTACAACGTGGGGTAGAAAGGAGCCAGCTGGTGAGGAACAGCAGACACACCTGGCTCTACCAGGGTCAGGGAGCACATCAGGTTCTTCAAGACCTCCGCAAAAGGTTTTATCTGTTCTCTTATTGTCCACCCATCAAGTGTGCTGACATACAGCTTTTAAAAAGCTTTGCTTTCTTCATGTGTTTCCGTCTGTCACCCCTTCTCGGTTTGTAATAATGCTATATCTATATCTCTTCCTGTCTTTAAAGAGTCACTCGTTTAACACGACTGCCATCCTCTCTGGTGGAGTTAAGTGAACCTTTACAAGTAGTGCGCTATGAGCAGGGCGGCCATTACCACGCTCATCATGACAGTGGGCCTGTGTACCCTGAAACAACCTGCACACACACTCGCCTTGCTGCCAATACCACCTCCCCATTCCAGACTTCCTGCAGGTAAGCCAAAGAGACAAGGCTTAAGCTTCATGTTTGAGCTGTTTTAACTGAAAGCAACTTGCACTGACATATCTGAAAATATGTCAGTGCCATTGTTTTGTCTCAAGATGCACACCAGTAATGTTTTCTAAAGCACGTTTATAATAGCTACTTAAATGTCCTAATTGAACTAAAGCCTAATCCTGGCTTAAGTCTAGCCCTGTCTGTAAAACTGGGCCTAAGATGAATATTTTACAATGTGTAATCAGATAATGTCATAAATAATAATTAAGCATTATCACACAAGCAAAAATGTATTTAGAACAAGAGCATGATTAGGAACGGGATATTAACTTCATTAAAGAGCCCATGTTATGCTTTTTCGGATATTACCTTTCATGTAGTGTTTAATAAAGCTGTTTTTTTAATGTAAAAGGTCTGGAAAGTTTCAAAGATCAAAGTGCATGAGAAAAGGAGTTATTTTCTCCTAAAAGAAAGAACTGCCAGAAATGAGTCGTCATTAACTCCAGTCTGCATGCCACCCTATGGTCTTTATTGGCTGCCCACTTTAACCCTCCTCAAACACTGTAGTTGTAGCTGAAGCCTGGAAGAGCTTGTTGTTAGATATCTCAAGAATATGCTGTTTTCTGTACTGCCAAAGCAAATCCAAAGCGTTTCCAAAGGATGAGGACTCGGGCTTGAATTGATACGGTAAAACTAACACCGTCGTTATCACTGTGTATACAAGTACCTTCAGAGCCGGAATTCAGATACGGTAATGTGTGTTTCGTTTCCAACCGCTGTAAGCAGAATAGCTTGGGCCATCTGACCAATCAGAGCAGAGTAGGCTCTCGGAAAGGAGGGGTTTAGAGAGACCGAATCTTTGATCGAACTGTTTCAGACATTGTGAGAAAAGAAGTGATGCTGCAATGTATATTATGAGAAAATTAAAGTTTTTTTTTTTACCTTAGATGCATGTAAACCTATTATAGGATACCTCTAAAACTAAATTAGGAACGTTTAAAATATCATAATAGGGGTTAATATTATGTAAATACATTTCTGACCAAATTTGGCAATTTTTTATCCCCCAAAAGTTCATAGTATTTGTGTCTTTTTTACAGGTACATCACGGTTCTGTTTTACCTTAGTAATGTAGAAGAAGGGGGGGAGACCACCTTTCCAGTGGCAGATAATAGGACTTATGAAGAAGTGGTGTGTCCTATTGAATAAAACATCTTTGCATGTGTATTTGTGAGTTAAAAGCAAGAGTTTTACACTATTTAAGCACATGCGACAGCCAATAATTATGTGCATGTATTTGTGTTTCCCAGTCACTGATACAGAACGATGTGGATCTGTTGGACACCAGGAAGCATTGTGATAAAGGCAACCTGAGAGTGAAGCCCATTAAGGGGACGGCAGTTTTCTGGTATAACTATCTCTCCGATGGTAGAGGTAATGAATATAACTTATCTGCTATTTTGTAATGTATTTTTGTAACGGTTTTTTTATAATGGTGGTGTAATATTTGCACCAATTATGCTTAAACCTTCTTATTCTATCCGTTTAATCATTGTTTGATACCCAAACCCAAATTGTATTATCAGCATAACAATTTAAGTATAAAAAGTCTAACTGAAATATTAACATCAATTTCAGAATGTCTCAGACTTTTAGACCTCACTGTCCAGATAAATAGTCTGGAAAATCTTGTTCATAAGCTGTAATTGTTGTTCTGTGCTGCCCTCTGTAGGTTGGGTGGGTGAACAGGATGAGTATTCTCTTCATGGTGGCTGTGTGGTGACACGAGGGACTAAGTGGGTTGCCAATAATTGGATCAATGTCGATCCAGACTACCAGCGACAGGCACGCTATCAACAATTTGTTTCTCAACAAGAGACACAAGAGCAAGAAGAACTGAACTCAGACCAACACATTGAAACACACCAAGACTTGTAAACACACACATATCCAGGTACAACAATGAACATATATACACATTCACTTCTGTGTAATGATCTTTTTATAGTCCCTCACTTTCTCTTTCACACACATGGCAGAAAATCACTATACACACACGCCTTTGCATCACTCAAACACCCTGAAGCACTGACGACCTCATACCAACAAACACACAAAAATACACTCATCCTTTGTATATTTTTAATCTGGTTCACTCTTCCACACAAATGCACACTATAGAAATGTAGCCCTACAAACATTTCCTCGTATTCAGAATTGAATGAGCTTTACCCAGCCTTCAGCGGTCCCAGTGTCTGAACTGGAACCTGTGTTGGGTTGGATTCAGGGATAAACAGCCTGATATTTATGCAATTGTGAAAGACAATGCTACTGTTCCTAATGTAGATATTTGAAGGCATTATTATTCCCATTAAATGGGAATGCAGCCATATTTGACAACTTTGTTTACATACAGATTGACACTCTACTGTACCTTCCAAAGGCCGTACACCGCAGCTAAGCGTTAAATGCAGTGATAGTAAATAGAAGAGCATCCGAGATGTGTATCTCTTCCCTGGTGGGATGATAGTTATGACTAGCGACTTTGGCAACCTCCAGCAAATAAAGCACAGTCAGTGCTAAAGCAACTTCACAATTGTGGGAGGATGTAGTGTGTATGTGGCCAAAGAATGTGTAAAATATATATATATATATATATATTGTTGCTTTCTACTGAAGTGACATTTTAACTGACATCAAAATCACTAAACACTTTGGTGTTATCTGCAGGTGCACTCAGCATTAACTAGTTGTAGTTCTGTCAATGGAGTACAGGTTAGTTTATTATCATAACTAGTAACTAAAAATAATTAATAGTTTTAACCTATGTAACATCTATTCAGCCTCCATCTCTGCAAGGACGTTTCTTACACTTATTCCCGCTCAGATATTCCTGAAAAGAAGCATGTAAACTTGCACAATCTTGTATGATTTGATTATGTTTTACTTTGTTAATTGCAATGCATCCAAAGACTGACTGAAGTTAACTTATTTTATTTATTTGTTGGAGTTAAATAAATCACATTGTTGCTGTTAAAATGCACAGAATCACTTTGTTGAATAAATTATTAAAATGATCAATCAGAGACTGTTGTTTTCTTTAAAAACACTTTCATTTTCTACTTTAACATTTTGTCTGTTGTTTTTATAAATCTTTTATAATTTATAAAAATGTTATAAAATGTTATAAATACAATTACATTACATTTAAAATTACGTGTTCATATTACTAATCAGTATAATTTACAATAATCCTTTACAAGTAAAATAAACCAAAAAATATTTAATTTAAACACCTACATTTTTTCAACCAATTTAGAGAAAAGTATCAGACATGCTTCATTAGTCAAATGCTATTTGAGCATTCATTTCATGGACATAACTTGGAGGTTTACTTTTTTTGTATATAGCTTGTATGAGCATGTAGAACAAGATGAATCATCTATCAAGAAATCAGTCTTCTCTCATAGTCTGGTACCACTTATATCCTGAAATGTGAAGTTAGAAATCATGTATAAGATAATATTCAACAATCATTCCATAATCATATTCCATGTATATCTACTGTAAGTGTGATATTGGTGAGCACATACTGTACTTATAGAACCTACCAGAGCATTCTCATAGCTGTGGATGGTCACAGCTCCCCGATGCTTGAGACAGTACAGAACAGCATCATGCACAGTAGCAAAGACACGACCTTCAGTGATGACATCAGAGAAGAAGCCGCCACGCTCAAGCTGATCCACCACCAGTGCTTGAGTGAAAACAATAAACAGGCCACAAATTATAATCATTGACTGAATATAAAACATCTGACAGGAAGGCTGATCTTTGAAGTCCACTGTAACAGTAATGATGATAGACCCATTACCTTGACAGCCTGCCAAGTAAATATCCACATCGATCTCTCCAAAATCGTGGAATATCTACAATAAGAAATGGTGATGAGAGCTTGGTTGCAATGCAAAGTCACCTTTTCTCTGTTGGACTTTTGAAGCACTTACATTTCTTAATGTCTTAATGGCCACTGTATCAACAAAGTTAGCAGTGGAGAAATCCAATATGATGGAATGGATGTCCCAGGTCCACTTCCCCAGGGATCCCAGAGAAACCCTCTCCAGATCCCTGCTTAAAGTGTCCTCGCTGCTGGAGTCCAGCGTGGTGGTGTCCCCGTCATGTAGATCTGACACTGACCCCAGGGTGACGGTATCAGGGTCAGTGCCCTTCAGGTACATCCAGGTGTGACAGCCATCAGATGTCCGTGCTGTCTCAGGTATTACAAACACTGTACTGTTTTCCCTCTGTCTCCAGCCAAGCTCTACCTCTCTGTGCATGTCTTCATTAACTTCCTCTTCCACTGTAAAAACAGACTTTTTGGATCGCTGAGAGGCTTCCCTGAGAGCTCTTTTCTGTAAAGGAAGAATGAAAGTGACAGTTCACAGATTTGAGCAGATGAATTCACTAGATGTTTGACCATAGACATGCTGCCTTTCTGGATACATAGCCACTTAATCATTATGGAGTTATGTTAAAAGTGACTGTTTTGAAATGGTCTACATTGGCACACAAATAGCAAACTGCACAGGAAACATTTGATTTCAGTAGAGTTTGAATACACACAGCACACACAAATATTATGTAGAATAATCCATTTGAAATAACTATTTTTATTGACGCTTCTCAGTGTTAAATGAAATGTGTGGGTTTTTTTTAAATAAAAACAATTTTTGGTTTAACTTTATTTTGATGGTCCCAAATTTGTATAAATATAGTTTTCACTGAGCTCAAAAAAATGCATTCTGGGATTGACTTCTCCTTATAATTTGGACAAAATTAGGTCAAAATCTTGGGAGGCAGCATAAGTACCGATATCTTTTGTAACAGCCTTTGCGTCACCCATGCCGCCTTTAAATGCTGCCTTTGTAAGATCACTAGGTTTTGGAACAGACTGTACATATATACAGGATTAGGACTAGCTCATGTTAATGGTGCAGTTTATCATATCATTATCCAGTAACCATGGAAAGAGTTAGCAGAGATCTTCTACCTGTCTTTTAGCCTCTCTTCGGGCTCTTCGCTCTGCTCTCCTCTCTCTGCGTCTCTGCTTGGCCTCCTGTCTGCGCTTATAGGTGAGCATTTTCCCAATGTCCAGGCCACTCTGCAGAAACATTAGCAATCAATATGCATTAGCAAAAATAATATAGGTATATCTTTAAAGACAGATGTTTCCAAACTTTTTACTCCAACGGCCCCCACTAACCACAAAAATATTCAAAGGACCCCTAGTTTTATTTTTACAACTTATTTTAATCTATGGGCACACCTAGTTTTTGTAATTAAAACATGACTAAAATATTTAGAATTAAAATAAAAAATCCAGAAATGTTTTTTTTTTTTTACTCACAATTTGTACATAATAAAATATTTTAGAGCGTGGCATAGTTGTTTTTGTTTATGTTTTGTCTTATAAATGATTTTGAGCCATCTTGTATGGAAGGCCCCCTTGGATGTTTCCTAGTGGGCCCCAGACCCCTGGTTGAGAACCACTGTGACATTCCGAAGTACTGAAAAAGAAATACTCTATTGCATACCAAGTTCCAAACAAATAATTGTACCTTTTTTTTAAGGGCCTCAAGATAAAGTTCAGCATTAGCAAAGTACATGGTGGCGGAAGAGCGAAATATGGTGATACCTGGTACCTCCCTCACCTGCAAAACAAAAAGCATGATTGTGATAAGTCTGCTAAGGTAGATACATTGAAAATATAAAAGGCCACATAGGCATAATGAAGTCTTGTTTGCTATTTAAATTGTCCTGATATTTCCTGATATAATTGTCCTGGAGTAATAGTGGGAATGTGATAGATATTTCTTCATTTAGCAGGACTGCACAAGAATGTTAAACTGAGGGCCATTTTTGGTTATTTGTCTATTTATTGCAGTTAAAAATTAATGTAATACTCACCTCTTTGTGTGTCTCCATATCTAGATATAGCTCAGTGCCAGGGAGGTGTCCCAGTAGTGAATAACTGGGCCTGAGACACAGAGAAGTCATGCGATAAGGTCAGATATGATGCAGTAAGAGAATGAAGCAGATGACAAGAGCGAGAAACACTGTTGAAAGATAAGAAGACTCCAACCGTTGAGTTCTGAAGATAACAGAGAGTAGAGCAAAACCCATGGAGGCACCCAGACCCATATCCAAATTAAAGAGCACAGTAGACGCATATGTCACCAACCATATCAACTACAAACACAAAAACAGAGCATAGAGATGACTAAATAAGTACAGATAAACCAATACTTTGGGTAAGCGATTCAGATGAATCTCAGTCAGCAGCACTAAATGCTTGTAGATTTTTGGCGGAGACTGTAGCATAACTTACTAGATCAATCTTGCAACTACGCCACAGTGTGACTATGTCATAGTACTGCTTGAACATTCCCTTCAGATTCACAAATACAATGGCAGCAAGAACTGCCTAGAGAGACACAAAGAATGGAAATTCTAGTCATAATTTATTCATAGCTCATACCAAAATAATGAATCTATTAAGTAAAAATAGCTTGGTAATCTTACTCATAGTCTGCACAGAGGATTGTTTATACATACCTTGGGCAGCTCCTGAAAAAGTGAGCCTAACTTTAGTACCGTCACTAGTACTATTACACCAGACACTACTCCTGCAATCTAAACAAACACAATGTGATGAGCAAATGTAGATATATAAATGCATGCATTCGCTAAGTTGTACAAATGCATTTGTCTTGCCTGTGTCTTGCCTCCTGTGGTTTCCTGTATGAGACTGCGAGACATAGAAGAACAAACTGAAAAACACTGGAAAAAACCTCCGACTGTATTACTGAGACCCAAAGCCACCAGCTCCTACAACACAGCCAGAAAAAGACATAGATCAGCTGTGTAATGTAGTTATCTGATTGTCTATTTCCATGTGTGTTATGGTGATTTACCCACCTGGTTGCTTTCTACTTTGTAACCATGTTTCAGAGCGAAGGTTTTGCCCAAAGAGATAGAAATGGCATAACCCACAATGGCTATTGCAAATGCATCCAACACCACCTCAGAAAAGACACGGGTGTTTGGAACCCCGGGAGGCTGAAGTCTGAGAAAACACATCAGAACGACCAGTAATGCATGCACTTGAAATATCATAAGTCATATAACTATTTTTCCAATATTTGATTTTTACATTTTCTGTGAGTGAGCCAAAACAATCCTAGTGGTGGTTTTCATGGCCTTGCTATGCAGATGCTGATGTGTTCTGAATAGTTTTAACGTGTTGGTAGGTGGTTGCTAGAGTGTTGTGGATGGTTGCACCAAGTCCCCCAACTAAATGGTAACAATAATAATGTAATGCTTGCCTTCCCAAACACCACTAACTGAGAGAAAAAACTATTATTATTTAAAAATACAAATACTTTTGATGTGAAAACTCACCCACTTGGGATCTCACCAACGACTGATATCTTATAGCTTTCATTCAGCCGAGTGTAGAATGATATAACGGTCGCCACTACAATCTAGCATAAAAGCATATACAAACTTTCATGAATTTCATGAGCTACGGGTAAAATTATGTTAATGATTCCTTTGTAGTAAATAAGAAGCCAGACTAGGTGCAATTAGTTATTACTAGGAGATATGATGCAAACACAATGCAGAGTTGAAATGCTGACTACACAGATTAATAGCACAGAGAGGGCATCAAGGAAAGGCACTACAGATACAACAGAGATACTGGTTTAGAGATGTAATGAATCCTATTAAATAAAAATGTTACTAAGTACAACTTAAGGGGAGGATTGAATCAAACAATGAAGAAGAGAAGCAGATAGTATTTCGATTTTTGGGGGATTACATACAGTGCAGAGTTCCACCGGAATAGGCACCAGCAGTTTATGCCTGAGCGCATTGTTAAGCTCTTTGGCAGTGATGAGAACCACAATGGCCACAACACTAGCCAGCAGAGTTGGGAGATGAGTCTCTGGCAACAGCCTAACCAAGTCTGCTAGAGTCTACACAGAGAAATTACAGAGTTATGCATGTATTGAGGCATGCACATCCAATGCATGTTTCTGTTTGTTAGATCGTACTCACATAGACAATAGACAGAGGTCCATTGAAGCGCTTGGGTGAGACTCCAAGGATGTACTTTAACTGGGCTACTACAGCATGAGCGGAGGCAGCTGTGGTATAACCTCTGACCAACGGCTCTGAAAGATACGTACCAACAAACCCAAACTGCACCAAGCCTAATACAACCTAAGAGTGAGGATGCAAGATTGTATTTAATTCTAATGTGAAACTGATATATCACAATTCATGTGCAATAGTGGATATATGTACAGTAGTTTGGTGTCGATTAAGATGTAAGATTAAGTTGAGACTTTTTATTATTTTCAAAAAAGTTTCTAATGCTCACCAAGGCTGCATTTGTATCAAAAGCACAGTAAAACAACACTGTGAAATATGATTATAATTTAAAATAACCATTTGTTTATATATAAAAAAAATAAAAAAATAAAAAAACATTTTCAGCAGCCATTACTCCAGTCTATATAGTGTCACAAGATCCTTTCGAAATCATTATAAGATGCTGATTTGGTCCTCAAAAAACATTTCTTCTTATTATTAAACTGTTGTGCTGCTTAATATTTTTGTGGAAACTAATATCTTTGATGAACAGAAGGTTCAAAAGAATAACATTTATTTGAAATAGAATTCTTTAACATTGTAAATGTCTTTACTTTCACTTTTGATCAATTTAATGCATTGTTGCCGAATAAGTATTATTTCTTAAAACAACAACAACAAACTTACTGACCCCAAACTTTTGAATGGTAGTATATATATATATATATATATATATATTTACTCTATGTATATATATAAATGACATGGCTTTAGGTAATATACATTTTTGTGTGTTTGCATCAGTCTGTGTTTGTATGTGTTTTTATTTATCACCTGAATAAGTCCTCCCAGTACAGTGGTGGCAGCAGCAACCTGTACTCTGTAGAAATCCCTAGATACGATATCCACCTCTTCAGTCACATTAGTGCCATTGTAAATAAGGAAATCTGCATCTGGGGCCAGTCTCTCTGTCACACTACCAATCATAATACTGAGGATAGTAAATGTGCCTACGCGAGCACGCACACACACACACACACACACACAAAGTGAACATTGTGAAGTTCAATGAAAATGGACAGTGCACAGGATTCAAGCAGAAAATAATCAATTTAGACAAAATAAAATCAACTGAAGTTATAAGTTAAAAAAAAGTTCAAATATAAATTAGGCTCTCACCTATGGAGATGTGTCGGGAGGTCCCAAAAATAAAATAAATTAATGGAGGATAGAGGGATGTGTAGAGTCCAAATACTGGAGGCAACGAGGCCAGCAAAGCATATGCCATTCCTAAAACACAAAAATACAAGGTCTCAAACAAAGATTATCCTGTATGTTTTAGTCATTAAAAAGTCAAGAAACATGCTTTACCCTGTGGAAGGTGCATAATGCCCACACTGATGCCAGAAATGAGATCCGGCATGCCATAATCCCAGATAGAGTAACGGGGCAACCAGGACAGAACAGGCAAGAAACCAACTATGGTACGTTTCAGTTTGGGTACCGAACAGCTAAAAAAAAAAACATCAAAGAAAACACTTAAAAACAATGCTGATATTATTTACACTAACAGTTGCTTCCATGGCTATATCTTACCTGAGTGATTTCTTCAGCCAATGGGAGATGGGAAGGTTGGTCTGGGAATGGTCCATTCTCTGTGATCGCTCTTTCAGCCTCTGTTCATCTATAACCTCTCTCTGTATACAATACTCTGCATTTCCTGAGTCCATTTTCTCTATTTTGTGCAGTATAGCTACTATAATTGGTCTGATAAAAATGAATTACAAAGCACAAAATTACACTGACCTCAGTACATCAATACAACTTCATAAAGCTTTCTGCGTGACAGTAATCTCTGATATCCCTCTAAAGCTGTGTGAGATATTTAAAAGGAGAGATAATGAGGTTGGTTGAAGCTGTGCTTTCTACTAATCATTAACTTAAGAACAAGTAATAGCATGTAATAATTTTAATGGATACATACAATTTCAGAAGCATCAAATGAGCAAAACAAGCTAACAAGAATATTGCCAATGTGCATGTCATTATAGAAAAATGTAATTATAAAAAAGCCCTGATCGTTATCTCTCAACTCTTGTCTTATTTTAGTGCAAATGCTGACTCAGACTTTCCTCCTGTGTTCATTAGTAGCTACTTTGTGCACTCTAAGGTAAACTGCAATGGAAACTTTTTCTGTTCCAGTAGAAAATTCCATTGTGATGTGCAGCATATTATGAATTAATGACTCAAGAAAAAAAAAGAAAAAAAACAGGACAGGAAGAGATGTTTTGACATCATTCATCCTGTAAATTTGCAACACATGAAGTGGTCCTTAAAATGGCTTTAAATAAATGGAATGGGGAGTTAGTGCAGGCGGGGTTAAAGGTTTAACAGCTCTCATCTGTGGTTAATATATTAATAATTGAGTAGTGTAGGCCTCTGACTTGTACCGATTACACTTGTGGTCCTATTTTTACATTGAAAAAAAATAGGGCGCATAGGTGGGCTATTTTAAGATATCTGTTTGTACAGATGGCACAGTATGAGTTCAGGGGAAATTTTGTAATAAATAATTTTTTTTTTTAATTAAAAAACAGTTGGCTTAGTCTTTACTGCCTTTAAAAGTCTTTACATCATCCCCACAACAACAAAAAGGTAAATTTGCATGTAAAAGCATGGCACATTGCAGAGTTTCAAAAGCAAACTTAAACATAAAAAAAGGAAATTCATTTGGAATAATATAGAGTATAAAAGTTGAATATTGTTTACTATTAAGACGTATTTAATTGAATCAAATACTAGTTCTGGATTTGCTTCATCAAAACCTTGATAACACACACAAAAAAATTATGTATAAACATCCATTATTGCACCAAAAGTAACTGTTAAGAAGCTGCATTAAAGAACAAATGCTTACACATAGATTGTGTGGTCTCTTTAAGAGCATGATGGGGTGAAATTTGACCTTAGCTCTCATGTACTGAGGGCCTTTCCCCAGATTCCATGAGAGAAATACAAACACATAAGCACTGGCAAGTAAAGTGACAATTTAAAAAAAAAAACTTCTACACAAGCTGTAATATTAAGTTATTTTCATTGATCAAGAAAACTTGTTGAGTATTTTTCCCTTCAGTAGTTTGACAAATCATGGTCTATATTTAGCGCTGTTGCTTAGTGGGAATGGCCATGGAAGGTTGAGTACAGAGCATGCTCCCTCTCCCAGTGTTTACTGTCAGACGCAAGGCAGCAAGCGTGTTTGTGTCGAGTGTGGGTAATGGACGAGTTGTTGCCTGAAGGCAGACACCACAGGAAGCCAGAGATCTGGTACGATTCATTGATGCATGTGCTAATATAATGCGATAGACTTCGCTTGTTGCCAATACTGTGACTGATACAACAATAACTGTCTTTTTGTTGACATGTCGGAGCATTGACCTGTTTAGCACTGACCCTTAGAGCAAGATAAAATTATCGGTGCATTAAAATGAACTTTCTTTAAAGTTATGTGGATTACTGAGGGTGCCCTAGCATGTCGCAGCAAGTTGTCATTTAGCTGCATTTGCTAAAAAAAATATTTTTTATCTCTTCAGATGCATGTTCCTTGACATTCTTTTAAGGACCTCCAGGATGTATTTAGGCTAAGACTAACACTTCTTCAAGTTAAGCTATCAAGACAAAAAAAAACCTAAATGGATCTGAGAGCCAAGCATGGTTTGACGCTGTTGGAACAGCTAAACCGAATGCGAGATGCTGAGCAGCTAACAGACGTGGTTCTAATCGCTGAGGGTGTTAGCTTCCCATGCCACCGTGCGGTGCTTTCTGCCTTCAGTCCATACTTCCGCGTAATGTTCACCTGTGGCCTGCGCGAGTGTACCAACCGTCAAGTGGTGTTAAGAGACATGCCGGCACAAAGCCTGGCCCTTTTGCTAGAATACATGTACAGCGCCAATCTTCCACTTACTGCAGCCAATGTGCAGGGCATCTCTGTTGCTGCTTTTCTTCTACAAATGGATGATGTGTTCAGTCGTTGTCAGATCTACATGATTGACAACATGGATGCTTCCAATTGCCTGGGAATCTATTATTATGCCCGGGATCTAGGGGCAGAGGAGTTGGCCGATCAGGCTCAGCGCTATCTGCGGCAGCACTTCACTGAAGTGTGCCTTGGGGAAGAGGTGCTGGAGTTGGAGGCTCACCAGTTAGGGGTGTTATTGGGCTCAGATGACCTTAATATTTCACGGGAAGAGAGCATTTTGGATGTGGTGATGCGCTGGGTGAAGTACAGTCCGGGGGGTGTAGGGTCAGTGGAAGAGAACAGGGCCAGGCACCTCCCAGAACTCTTAAAGAAGGTACGTCTTCCACTGGTGGGTGTGGATTACTTGAAGGGGACGATGAAAAGGAACACAGCACTGCTAGCTGATGCCGAATGTCTTCAGATAATGGAAGAGGCAATTGAAACTGCAAGCTTGGATTCAGATGCTCCACCCCGCCGACTGAAGCTGCGGTACGGTATGGAGACCACAGACCTCCTGCTCTGCATTGGTAATGATGGCGGAGGGATACGCTCACGTTATGGAAGCTACACCGAGCGCAGCTTTTGTTATGCTCCCAACACCGGGCGGACTCTTTTTATCACCTCCCCACGATACGGTGATGCGCTTGGATATGTCTATGCTGGAGTGGTAACTGAGAGGAATGAAATTGTTGTGGCAGGAGAGCTGGGAGCCAGAAGGATGGCGAGGCAGAAAGACAGAAACGTCGAGATTTTCATGTGAGGCTTCTGCAGGAGAAAATGACAGTAATACCCCCATGTTTTCAACATCAAATATACTAAATAAAGCAAAACTGTAAACTAACGTGTTTATTAGAGCACCTAAAATTTAATTTTAAATGAGAGAAAATATATCACATTATTACAGAGAGTAAAACATACAGTTCAAAAATCTAATATTTGCTATGTGTTTTTCAGGTACAACAAGGAAGCCCAAGGATCCTGGAAACACTTGAGCTCAGCAGAGTATCGTGACTCTTATGCATTGAGCTCTTTGGGAGACAACCTGTATCTGATTGGAGGTCAGATGAAGCTGAAGAACCAGTACCTCATCACCAACAGTGTTGAGCGCTGGTCTCTACAGGGTGGGCCATGGCGAAGTGGTGCCCCTCTGCCCATGCCCCTTGCCTATCACAGTGTAGTTCGGATGAAGGGTCGCCTTTATGTGCTTGGGGGACGGACTCCACAGGTAATATACCAAAATATTGGAAATTTGGCATCTTTATAAAGGAGAATGGAGGCTGTATAGTGAAAACACAATAAATCACTATGATTTGGAAAATAAAACCAAGTGGGGGAGCACAGAAAGTGTGTATTTATTGCCTTCTCTCTTTCCCTCTAATGCACCTGTTCTGCCACGTCTCATGAATGGCAGTCATACCGCACAGATGACGAGCCTGACCGTATGAGTAATCGCCTGCTTGAATATGACCCCGAGAACAACAAGTGGAGTGAACTTGGCCCTATGAAATATTCAAAATACCGTTGCAGCGCAGTCGCACTCAATGGGGAAATCTATGTACTGGGTGAGAATGTCAACAGGATGAGTGCAATATGACAACTTATTTTATTTAAAAGTAAAGCTAGGCATCACCTATGCAATTACAAAGATTATACTGTACTGTAAAATGAGCTTCAGTGTCTCCTTCTGCAGGTGGTATTGGGTGTGAAGGTGTGGATCGCGGCCAGTCACGTCACTGCCTTAATGTAGTAGAGATCTACAACCCTGATGGCGATTTCTGGAGGGATGGTCCTCCTTTACCATGGTCTCTCCTATCACTTCGCAGCAATGCATCAAATGCTGGAGTTGTTGATGGAAAACTTTATGTCTGTGGATACTACAAAGGAGCAGGTAAATATTTAAATATACTGTAATATCAATATCAGTCCACTTAGGCATCTTTACTGTGCCTGCTCAAAATTCTGTGTAAAGGTGCAATGCAGCATTAAAACCAGACTAAATTATGCATGCTCTGACCCACCTCAGCCTCTAGTATAATATGCAGTTAAAATTGTTGTGTAAATGCATTTATGCTACCTCTGAGTGGCATTAAACCTAATTGCCACTTCAGAAGCACTTTTGTGCCACCTTTGCAGTGTAAATTTGCCATTAGTTTAGCCTTGAACAGTTAAATCCATGTAATTCTCTGTGGCCATTCAAAATAGACAACATTGTAAGTACTCCACTCTTTCCCAAGATCGTCATGACACCATCACTAAAGACATCCTGCAGTTGGATCCCTGGGAAAATGTATGGACTGTGGTGGCAAGGCAGGCTCTGATGCACGACAGTTACGATGTATGTTTGGTGGCAAATCTGAACCCTCGTGGACTCATACCCCCTCCTGCTGACTTGGTAGAGGAATGACAACAATCTCTCCAAAAATGATTTCTCATGAAATATTATACAATTTATATTATTCACATGACAGAATTCCTCTTCTGTCATGTGAATAATATACATAGCATACTTTTTATCCTCCTGCCAGAAAACTGTAGATATAGGGAGTAGGGCTTTCATAAATAGATATACATTTTTACTTCAAACTATTTTAATTTATAATTCTGCGAGTGCTTTAGTGATTTTGTTGTTGTCGACATTTTTGGATTTTAGATATTACCAATAGTTGAGGTATAGTATGTATTAAGATATGTGTCAAATGATATGATGAAAAACTTACATAATTAACAGTTCAAAATAAAGTAACACTCCGAGAAACTTAAAATGATTTTACTTCACTAGCATAGTAAAAATGTACAGCATAGAGTTGCACAATACAGTATATGTACTGTAACTTTAAGCAGTCGATGTAATTTACTAAACATAAATTAATCTGTCAAACTTAACAACAGCTAAATCTGTCATGTTTCAACTGCAAACAAAATTGAATATATTTTTAATGTTACACAGAGGTTGTCTAAAATATTTGCAAGGCCAAAACAAACTATTCACAAACTTCTGGAATATGATTTGCAAAAAGGAATATGAAATTACTGAATTACAGCTTGAATGTTATTGCTTTAGAGCCATATAGTAAAATAAAATAGAACAATACTTTTAGAGGCAGTAAAGTCTGCCAAACTGTCTTTTATAATAAAGTTTTTATAATATCCATATGTGCCAATGTTCAAAAAAGAAACAAGGAACAGCAACAGAAAAGGAACAGATAATGTCAATAGCAAGAAAAGTGGTTAGAGAACAAGATTCACATGTTCACAGGCAATTTCAAGTTCTTAGTAAAAAAAAAAACCTGCACATAGAAGATACTCTAAATAATTTCTCAAATGTAAATGTAATAGGCATACAGTATGGAAGTATTCTGCATTTTATTCTGAGTCATTAGTAATGTCAAAGAGCTGCCACAGGCCACCTTCTTCTACTATAACACTAGCTTTAGGTTCAGGCACCACTTTTTCCCACTCAGCCATCTTGTACTCCACTATCATTTGGGAACTGTCTGTGTCTTCAGACCACAAACTGAAGGGGTTTAGTGGTTGCTCAGCTACACACCTACTGACTGGTGCTACAGTGGCTTGCTGCTGTAGTTTTAAGTGATTCTCTGCAACAGATTTGTTGGTCACTTTCCAGTTGTCACAAAGAGAAGACAAAGGTACTCTGTCTTTTTGTTCACACTGAAGGTCTTCATTCTGCAGGCTGTCATTTGAAAACTTCATTGCTCCTTTTTTTCTCATTGGTTGTCTTTGTGGGAGAACCAGTGCTCTCTTTCCCCCTCTATAATTCAGGGCTTTTTGGCGCCTCCTAGGTAATTTCAGTGGTGGCATTGCATCAGTGCCCAATCTGTTCAATGGTTTTTCAGGCACCAGGTGTCTATCTACATACTGTTCTTCTTGGTCAACTATGGATGCAGTGGATTGAGCATCCACAAGTGGGCTTGAAGGTCTGGTCTCAACTAACTGTGTACACCAAAATCTCTGTGAAGCATCAGGGGAAACCTCCTCTGTGACTGCTGTCTGCTGTCTTTTTACAGGCAGAGCATGTGCATTTCTGTTTTGTGTCTTCTGTGTGGTAAGTAGACACTGGTTCTGTTCTACTGCTTCTCCTGAATAAATGACAGGCCTGTTGCACATCATCTTGCTCTCTTGGTGTTTTTCAGTTGACATGATACAGAAACTCTCTAACAGACCAGGTGATGTCTGGACCTCACTGTCAATCATTCTGGCAGAGCTAGGCCCTGCTATTGGCTTGTGAGTAGAAATCAAAGTGCTAAGCTGAGACAGAATATTTCCCAGCATGCCCTGCTCCTTGCTCTGCTCTACTTTTAGATGTTCCAGATCCCGATGGAGGTTAAGCATGTTTGAGCTCAACTCTTTTGCAGCCAGACTGCTCTATTTTAATAGAAAATAAATGTGGCTTTATTAGCAATGCCAATATAGAGTATATTAATAATAGCTTTACATCGATTGTCTAGGACAGGTTATATGTGCAGTCCTTACCTTGGCTTCCCTGTCTGCCATTTCTATTTGTGTTTGGCTCTGCAGAGTCTCAAATTGACATGTTATACCCTCTTTCACACTGTTTAAATAACCTTCAACTGCAATGGACAACATAATGTCATAAGTTATAAATAAATAACATCTACTACATTTAATATTTTAAAAAAAATATAAATATGCTATTTAAAGCTACATTATGTAACTTTTGGGCCTCAAAACTGCATTTTGTGGAATAACATTGTTTTGTTTTTTTGTGCTTCGGCTCTGCATGACTGTGCGGATGAATATGATTCTTTCTCATTACTAAAAAAAGAGAGAATATCCTACTGCTCATAAAACATTCACTACTAGGTTTAAGAGATGTAACCAATTTGGAAAAAAAGTATCCCAAGCTGACTAGCGGAGGACAGTAGCTATATCTATTAAGACTCTGTCACAAGCTCTGTCACATTCACTTTTGTGCCAGTAAACTTTGCTCTTTTAGGCATTTTTTTAAACAGGTGATTTTTGGGGAGGTTTGAGATTTAGCGTGCTCCATGTCAACCTTTCTCGCTCATTGTGAACTTGTGACAACTATGCCACTCCCACACCATACATGCCTCAAAGCAGCCGGAGCAATTTTTCTCAAAATTTTACAGATACACTACCGTTCAAAAGTTTGGGGTCGGTACGATTTTAAATACTTTTAAAAGAATTCTCTTCTGCTAACCATGGCTGCGCTTATTTGATTAAAAATACAACAAAAATCAGTTATAGTATTAAATATTATTCCAGTGTAAATCAGCTGTTTTCTGTGTGAATATATAGTAAAGTGTAATTTATTCCTGTGATCAAAGCTGAATTTTCAGCATCACCAGTGTCAGTGTCTTCAGTGTCAAATGATCCTTCACAAATCAGTATAATATGAGGATTTGATGCTCAAGAAACATTTATTATTATTATCAATGTTGAAACAGTTGTTGGTCTGTCAGTTGTACAGTTTTTTTTTTTTTTTTAGGATTCTTTGATGAATAGGAAGTTCAAAAGACTTTTGTAACATTATAAATGTCTTTACTGTCACTTTCGATCAAATTAATTATTCCTTGATAAATAAAAGTATTGATTTCTTTCCTACAAAAAATAAAAATAAAATTCTCACTGACCCCAAACTTTTGAACGGTAGTGTATGTAGAGAAACACAAGGGCGAGTGACGTATGTAAAAGATTTCCAGCGAAAACCATCCCGACAGGTCTAAAATATAAACACTTATAATAGGCTTACCATAGTGAATCAGGGTAAGACAAAAACATGTTTTGGAAGAAGGATTGATGATAAATTTCTGTTAATTTTGAACAAAACAAGAAAAGTTACATAGTGTACCTTTAAACCTCGTATAATAATTATCTTTAATGGTAGTGTTATTTGTGGAAACCTGTGGTCGTCACAATGGGCTAATTGTTAAGAACCATCTGCATTCAGTTATAAGAATATACAAAACGTACAAACAAGAACGTACTTGTTTTTGAAAAATTATCCATTCTCTCCACTAAAACTTTTCTGGTACTGTCATTACTTCCATCAATGCAATTTAATAAAGTCTCTCTGGTCTAAAAGGGAAAAGGTAGGTCAAAGTCAAGTAATACTGAAACCGTGAATATGTGCAGTAAAAATATTCCAAATGTGTTAAACATGCATCTATGCCTCAAGAACAATACTCACATTTCCCAGAGTTTCCTGCAATTGTAGAATTCCATTAGTGAGAATTTCCCTAAAAAGTGAAAAAGTTGTATAACAATATGTCAGGACACAACCAAAGCTATAAGAAAAATTGCAATAGAGAACTTTAAAAAGACATCAGTACAGTTAGAATAGTTTATTATTATTATTATTGAGCAAGAATCAAGGATAGACAAATTACCTTTCATATTTTTCTTTGGATTTTCGCTTCTCCTCTTCAAATCTGTCCAACATGCCAACAGATTTGCCACCAGTGAAGTTTAGGATTTTGCCATCACCGCCAAACAAAAACGGCTTAGAACTATAACTGCTGGACACCATCATTTCCTTCATCTGTAGAGGATTAAGACAATTTGGAATTATGAAACTTAAAGCTGCAGTTCCTAGTTTTTCCTCTTTGTCGCCATCTCTGTTTGAAATCTGCAATTGCAGTTATTCACGGAATTATCAACTTTACGTGAGTTGTGCCTCGGTACGGCACAGCGCGGATGAATCCAATGTTTTGAGGAGAATCTGCGGCTGTCAGTCACCACGGATACTGTCATTCGGAATCACAGATTCTACTTTTTGGAAGTATGACCAACATAATAATTTTCACCGGAAAATGTCACCTGAACAAGTAAGTATGATCTACTTTTGTTCTGACCAACTAAGGGAAAAAAAAAGCATTGCAGTAAACCGCGCTGATTAAATCTAACGATCGCTTATCATATCACGTCAAACCGTACAAATTATACTTTGTTCTCAAATTGTGCGTGACTACATTTAAAGGGTTAGTTCACCCAAAAATTTTAATTATGTCATTAATGACTCACCCTCATGTCGTTCCAAGCCCGTAAGACCTCCGTTCATCTTCGGAACACAGTTTAAGATATTTTAGATTTAGTCCGAGAGCTTTCTGTCCCTCCATTGAAAATGTATGTACGATATACTGTCCTTGTCCAGAAAGGAAATAAAGACATCATCAAAGTAGTCCATGTGACACCAGTGGGTTAGTTAGAATTTTTTGAAGCATCGAAAATACATTTTGGTCCAAAAATAACAAAAACTACGACTTTTTCAGCATTGTATTGTCTTCCGGTTCTGTTGTCAAGCCGCGTTCAGTGATGCTGCTGACGTAAGACGCTGCTGACGTGTTATCAGTGCGGCCGAGCTTCGTTTACAGTCTGAGGGAGACGCACGCTGTAAACAAAACAATCTTCGCAAACATGTCTAGGATTTTGACACAGAGGAAAACTTGCATTTTTTTGCCCAGCCATATTTATTTGAACCCGAATACACGGACACACCAGATACACGTCAGCAGCATCTTACGTCATCAGCATCACTGAACGCGGATTGACAACCGAACCGGAAGACAATACAATGCTGAAAAAGTCGTAGTTTTTGTTATTTTTGGACCAAAATGTATTTTCGATGCTTCAAAACATTCTAAGTAACCCACAGGTGTCACATGGACTACTTTGATGATGTCTTTATTTCCTTTCTGGACAAGGACAGTATACCGTGTATGCATTTTCAATGGAGGGACAGAAATCTCTCGGATTAAATCTAAAATATCTTAAACTGTGTTCCGAAGATGAACGGAGGTCTTACGGGCTTGGAACAACATGAGGGTGAGTCATTAATGACATAATTTTCATTTTTGGGTGAACTAACCCTTTAATGCCCTTCAGATATCCATGTTTTCACATGACCCCGGTTTCTGTAGCCACTCCGAAGTCTTTTGCATTTTACAACGGGTGAAACTCCAGTTGTCACTGGTGATTGTCGTTTGAACCTTTATGGATCCGCCATCAAATTAATAAGTTTAATTATATCAAGTGCTGTGAGAAAAGGCTATAAATCTCCACCTCGAACATCCTCACACACAATATAGCCTACTAGCCGAGACTCCTTCTTTATGTGTACAGATGTGACGTAATGGCGCAAACACATACTTGAATTTCCCGCAGAAATCCACCAGTACCACTGGAATTAATAACATTATTACAAGCTTACCGTTTTCAATCGAGCTAAGGCAAGCAGATAGTTTTGAACACTGGCTGGTTATGTAATTTATGTACACAATTTTATTTTGGTTAATTTTTAACCCAAAAAAAGTTACGGACTGGAGCTTTAAAATATTTTATAGACTTCTCCTTTACAACAACCTGTCACAATAATTGTCATTTATGAAAGGTTTGTGGACCAAAAAATAAAACAATCAAGAATATGTTCATCATAATACATAAGATAAAACATGGCATGTTCTACAGTACAAACAAACACAGTTTATGCCCGATATATTTACCTCCTGTGATGTATGCTGAGAACCTCTGCTCTGTCCACTCATCTCCTGAGTAAACCCTTGTGAATTGTCAGGCCACATTTGAGAGCCCAACAGAAACTGAGAGTCAGTCAGGCTGGAGTAGTCACTGGTTGGACCCTTACCGGGTTTTATCCCTCTATAACAAACATAATTCTGACTAAACATCAATATAAACACGAGATTATAATGTCCCCTTTCAAGGTAAAAGTTTGGATAAGTGTAAATGACAGTAAAAGTTAACGTTAGCTGACAAATCCTCTTGTTAGTAACGTTACATAATTTAGGTCTCAGACATACCCAGAAGTTGCGGGGATGTTCAACATCTCCTTAATATTCCAGACATTGGGCTTCATATCCAGGTTTTCAAGATCTAAAAATGTTTTTAAAAATATTCTAGAATTTATCAGTGTCATAATAAATTACGCGGGAGCCGGACGGCTGCCGTCATCAAAGCTGTGTTTTCATTATAAATTAGCGAGAACACAACTGTTTAGTTTAGTTCATTTGAAAGAAATGTGACTTACCAGTAAATGACTTTGATATGCAGTAATGATTCTGAGGCAACATAAATAAAGTTTGGCGGTCGTTGGTGCTACGGTTTGATTAAGTTGTGTGTTGTCCGTGACATTTACAACAGACTGCGGAGGTTTTCCCGGGCTACAGAATTCAAACAGTTCATGCAGCCAACAGTAGAGCCCGTCTATTAGACATTCTCTGACTACACCTGGCTACAGCCCCTTTAATCATAGCTTGGCTGATTGCGATCGCTAGATGGCACTATTTAAATACTTATAACGTGAGTGGAAATACATGTCCACTTACAATATAAGTGTTTAAATAATATATATAATGAATATTCCCTATTATCATTATTTGAACACTTGTGTATTGTTACATTGTAAGTGGAAATATATATATATATATATATATATATATATATATATATATATATATATATATATATATATATATATATATATATATATATAATGGGTTCATGTCATCTTAGGCATTTTGCAAACATATATGAAATCAAGTTATTTAAGAAATCACAATTCGCACTATAGCTCAATTTACAGTTGCACTCCTGTTTATTACATTACGTGCTTGTAATGATAGCATGATGTCATGTAAAATTGCTGGTTGTATGCCTGCGACATTTAAAAACATATAGTGCAGTGAAATAGTGTGGAACTTTTACCGATCAAGTCCCACTGGGGTTAACAGTTACTTATCTTGCTAAACTTGTTTCGCACTGTGATTCGCTATAAAAAAAACTGTATCCTAGCAACCAAAACAACGAATGCTCGTCTTGTCTCCATAATAAAAGCCACAAATCTTAGAAAATGCATAGCAACTGATATTTAATTTCACATTATGTTCTTATTAATAACTTATTCGTTAAAAAACACTGAGGGAGCAGAAAATAAAGACCAGTAAAACCTCTAATATTACAATGGCATTGACGGATCTGTTTCGCTTTAGTATGTTTAGTTAATAAATGTTATTCGCATCACAACATGAACATTAATTAGTAATAAAAAAATTATAATAATGGTGGTCTAATAAAAGCTAATCTAATAATGACAGTGAAAGACTTGTATTTTGGCAGTGCAGTTTATTAATCAGGAAGTAAACTCCCGTTGTCAACAGATTTCTGACATTTCTAAAACTTGCGTTTCACAGGTAAGTTCACGTGCTTATTATCACAGAAATCTGTTTTATGTCTTATGTCTCTTATGTGGTGCTAAAATGACATTGTTTAGAGAATATACGACCACCGACCAAAAACGACATTTAAATCATCAGTGTAGAATTAGACGGCTCGTGAGATGAGTTGACGTCCTCAGAAAACTTGATGTGTCAATCTTGAAGTTGACACGACCCTGCATTTATTAAATATACAAAATGACATGTTAAATCAAACAAAAAACGCAAAGTTGGGCATTTTAGAGCATAAACATAATGGGCTTCAGATCCATTTTGACTCCATCTAAGGAGTAATCTCATCATGAGTAACGTTAGTCTACTACATCATCAGTGCTGCTCTTTTTGTGTTAGAAATTCCAGAGACCAGGTATCTCTTGTCTTTTCTCTTCAGGAATCTTTCACACAACTCTCAGTATGTGAGAGCGTATAACTACTGAAATGACAGTAACCAATGTATTCACATGTTCTAAACCTGAAACTAAGAAGACCAATTCCATTCTTGATCTGTATTGGGGTTTTGCATGTGTTTCAGGCTCTGCTAGAAAACTCCAATGACTGTTGTGAAAGAATAAAGAGAATGAATGAAACCTGTGCAAATATTTCACTCTGTAATCCTGGTATGTTTCAAATTGTGAATAATTTTTAAATAACACTGAAACAGAGATGTAAAGGAATGTACCTTGTAAATACAACCTGAGCAAATTTTTCTATGCATACTTTGTGTGAATCTAGTTCTGTGGAATTTTATGTTATTGATAGGCTATAGGGACATTTTAGTACTATTGATAGTGCATTTGGATCCTCATCTAGGGCTCCTTCAAGTTCAGGAGAACAGTACAACCTTTTGTGTGTCCTGTGACTCAGCAGAACAGGGGAATTCAACTTCATTTAACAATAGTAAGTTCGATGCCATAGACATTAAAGAAAAAGCTACGTTGTCTAGAAGATTTCTTAATGTGGATTTTTCTTCATGCTTCATTGAAATGTTAAAGCTACAATTTGGGAATCATTTGACTCTAGGAGTTATTTATTTACCTACTGTTTTTTTAACTCTTAGATGTGCTCTTTATTTATTACATTATTGTTTATCTTTTTATTTACTTCATTGTTGTTTTCTACTCTCCCTCTAGCAAGGACTAGTCACTTTCCAGGAACATTAATCAAAATGATAGGTAAGTTACCATTATTTAATAATAGTTATGTGAACAGCTCACAAAAAAACCTGCTTCAAAACCTAATTTATTTTTGTATATTGATATTAATTTGAAAGGAGTCCTGCACATGACATGCAGACAAAAATATGAATATCGTGGACACGAATTAAGAATTAATTTTCTCGTTTTAGTAAATCATGGCCACAATTGACTAATTCGTTCCCTCGTTTTACTAAATCATGCACACAATATAATAATTAGTTCCAATGATTTAGTAAATCATGGCCACGTTGTACTAATCCGTTCCCTCGTTTTAACTAAATTGTTCGCACATTATAATAATTTGTTCCCTTGATTTAGTAAATCATGGCCACGTTGTACTAATTTGATTTGATTGAACTAAATCAAGGGAACAAATTATTATATCGTGCACACTATTTACTCAAAAGGAGTGAACGAATTAGTAAAACATGCTGACATATTTGATTTGTACATTCTTTCCCGCATGTCATATGCGGGGCTCCGTAGTACGGAACTATAATTTCATCCTTTGCATTAAAATGGCAGGTGGCCCGGGTGTAGCGGCTTCTGTCCTTCTAGGAACTCTACTGATCAGCCTGGGCCTCATCCTCTCGGTTGCATCTTTCTTTTACCTTAAGCGTTCCAACCGCCTCCCTGGAGTCTTCTACGGGCGCAATAAGGGTAAAAAAAAAAGTCTTATTAAACATCATAAATGTGTAAATAAGTTTTCAATGCTTTTTTTGACATAGGAACAAGTTTTGATTAAGGTTTATAGTTTGGTTGATTCTTTTTTTTTACCTGTGTTGAATATTTTATTTATTTATTTATTATTATTATTGGTAGTGTTTTGGAGTTTCACTTATTCAAGATGTTTTTTTTGAGGTTTGTAAATTGTGTTATTTTCCTTTATCAGCTTTTATATTCCAACCAAGTGAGACGGTAAGATAATCCACTCAAAATCCATTTGTTTTTGTCTAAAAAAACCCTTTTATGTTATCAAAGACAAACACTGCTTTGTCTTTTAAATATTACTGTAGCTTAACAATGGATACCGAATTACTAACTTGTTCATATTTTCTTCCAAGGCTGTCATGATTCCTGAAGCTACATCTTCAGGTATTAGAAATTGTCACTACTTGATCTGTGTTTTTGAATTATCGAAGTTATAAAGAGGTGGTGTATCCTAGTTCCAACTGTGCTAAATTTCATTGGCAAACATCTATTGGGAATATCTGATTAATTGAAACAAACTGAAGTAAAAGCAGTATGCTCTGTTTAGTATATAGAATGAATGTGACTCTTCTTCTTTTTTTTTTTTTTGTCTGCAGTTCGCAAGCCAAGATATGTCAGGAGGGAGAGGCCTTCAGCAACATCAGCATCCAACAGTGCTACTGTGGCAACAGGGGCAGTAACCAAGGTATACAATGTGTGACCAGCCTCCAAGGGCCATCTGTAAGCCCCCTTTCAAAACATGAACCTGTCCTATTGCACAGTTTCCTTATGGGATTGTAACCTTTTTTGGTGAAACTTTCCTTAAAGTTATGTAGGCTACACGAGGCATCCAGTTTCTTGATGTAGGCTTTTATCTTGGAAAACTTTTTTTTAGATCATCTTTTCATTGATCCAGATATTTATTTCTATTTATATATTTTTCACACAATATGTTCTTTCTTTCTTTCTTTCTTTCTTTCTTTCTTTCTTTCTTTCTTTCTTTCTTTCTTTCTTTCTTTCTTTCTTTCTTTCTTTCTTCCTTTCTTTCTTTCTTTCTTTTTAAAAGTCCAGGTGTTGCACTACTAGAGTATTTTTGATTGTTAAGCTATAATTCAGTCAATCAAGTTGTTTTCTCAATGAATTTTGTACTGTTTATATTTATTACCTGTATGTTTGTGTGATATTGTACTTTTGAATCTTGTGACATTGTAACTAGGCTCCAAAACAAGACTTCCGCAGTTAGTCATACTTGCACACAACCAACTCCTCAAACCTCATAAATAAATAGGCATTAGCATATTTACCATTTGGTTAAAACCATTTTAGTGTTTGGCTCCTGTACACTCAAATATTATATTTTCTATTAATCCTGTACAGTCTCAACAGCACTTATTGATGGCATATACTGTACATTTGCTGGAAATACCCTGTATGAGCATTGGAAATACTTTAGGCTTGGGTTTCTGTGTTAACAGCATATTCATGTTATACTAACAAATGTGTGCATGAAATGTCCAACTGCTAACAGTAGCACATTCCTCACTATATTCAACATAAAATGTTCTGGCTTGGGCCAAAGTAGTTTGAGTTATAATGGTACATTCAAATTTGCTAGGCCTTAAAAGTTGCAAACACACAATATATAATCAAAATTGTTGTGAAAAACTGTTGCCAAACAAGGAGTTAACTAAAACATTGAGTTCCCATTTATTCCTTTTTCCCACTGTAAAAGATAAAGTGCCATTAAGTGAATGTGCTAATGGATGAAGTTACCATTTTTGATTTTGTACAAAATTAGAATGTAAAAGTATGAAAGAACTCCTAGATTATCTGGTACATTTTTCTTGTTTTTTGGTTGAAAAACAACAAAAAAAAGCTTGATAATTTTGTAGTGTCATAAGAGAGTGATACACTGGTATTTGTATGAAAGGGCTGGAGAAGTCAGTTACTTTTTTAGCTTTACTTTGAAAATGTTTATTGGAAATAGTGGCCTTTTAGTAAGCCATATCATCCCCTATGCCTATATATTTATGATTATCTGTGTTGTTTTTAGTTTTTTAATTTGTAATAACGGTTCTGTTTATTTAAAGGATTATGTTTGATTTTTTTCTACATCTTTTCTATTTCTAAGGGGTATTTGAACATTGTTTTGTAAAATGTAAAATCTTCAGTATGCTGGATTAAGCTAAAGTAAGGAATGTTTACTTGATGTAAAGTTAAATTATGTGCTTTCATGGGGATTACATCAGTGATTCTGATTCTGGAATATAACCACTTAAATTCAACTTATTTCTCATCTCATTTTATTGGCTGTTGTGCAGCAAATGGAAGCATGTTTTGTATATGAATTATGGTTCGGTTGATGCTGTTGATTAACTTTTTTTGTATGTTGATGTCCTAATGGAGTATTGATCACAAACTGAATAATATTTGATGAAGATTTCAGTGTTTACAGAAATAAAAGATATTTTGATTTATGAGGGGGAAAAAGTCTATTTATTTATATCATCAGAGCGGAATATAATTTAATAGTTCTTGCAAAGAGCCACTGTGCACAAAATAAACAATCCAGGTGGCGGATGGTGATAATCATCAAAGAGTCATTTGCTGTGTAAGTTCTGGGAAGATGTAGAGTAAAGTTGGGAGTGGTGGTTATAAATCTCTTTTTTAAGAATTTGAATGGCTGGCCAATACTATCATTGTGTTATCATCTAGAGTAGTTATTAAAATGGTAGAATATTAGGTTGGATATTCAATTCAGCATAATCAAACCTTACTACTATTGTGATCGGAAAAACACTCATCTGAATGTGACCAGTCAACAGTTTACATTTGCCTTGGGTAAACAGATGGGGAGACTTTGATCCCATTTATCTATAATATTATAAGCACTTCCTTATAAGAATACTAGATCAAAACGGAGCAAGTACCACGTCACTGTCTTTCCATTAGCGCAATCCACTATGTGATGTTTGTCATGTCTCACTATTTGATACAATTGCAAATATCCACATTTCTACGGGATTGTTTAAAGCATTCAACATAACAATAGCTGGCACACTACCATGTAAAATATACACAACAGCTGTACAACTATACACACACCCTCAGCGAGACTTGTGAAAAAACGTACACATGCAAAGTTATTTTTCCTCATACCTGGCTGATTATCTCCAAGCGAGACAGAGGGGTAACATATTTCATCATTCAACAGTCATGTGACTTTGAAAACGGTTCAAATTTACAGCCAATTTCTTTATTGTTATGGTTTTGTTATGCACATGTGATATCTTATCAGTTACCATAAGCATTGTTTTTGTTGAACCAGATGAATGATGACAGTAAACTTGTAGAATGCTATAGTTTTTCAACAAAATTTATTAAGATTATATTTGTTAAAAATGACATTAATACAATTTGTATGTGATAAAATAAAAATATGCAGTTGCAGAACCTGTCTAACTTGTCTCTCCAGATAAAACTATTAATATCTTAATAATTTACAACACTGTGAATTAAATAATGTGCTTTAACATTTGTGTTAAACCTTAGTCACTTACTATGCTTTGTCATTCTTACGTTAACTAAGGTATTCAATGACAGTGTGAAACCTAATCCTATCGGAAAACCTGTTCCTACTTCCCTCTCTTTGTCATCCCTCCTGCTTTTCCATAATTTGCACACGTACGTGTATGGGTTGGTGTGGGTGTGGGTGTGGGTGTGTGTGTGTGTAGGGGTTCAGAAAGAGAGAGAGCAAGGTAATGATTTATGGTTTAACTCACTTGAGTCGCAGCTCAGAAGTATAATTCAAACTTCTGAAGAGGAGGTGAGGCCAGTTGTACTTTACCGGAAGACCAAGACAGACAGGTCTGGAGAAAGACGGGCATTGAAAGAGTTGTTTTGGTAACTTTTCAGTCAATTTTGAATCTATCTAGAAGAAGAAGAAAAAGAAGAAAGCATCAGCAAGAGAATAATACTGTCTTCCTCTTTTAAGGTAATTAGGGCCCAAGCCCAAAGGGCGAAGGCCCTATTGTTTTCCTTAGGATTATTTATTATTAGGGCCCAAGCCCAAAGGGCGAAGGCCCTATTGTTTTCCTTAGGATTATTTATTATTCTTCTTATTATTTTTCTGCTACCTTTTGGACACTTTTGGAGGCCTTAACATGCTCAAAAACTCCTGAAACTTTGCACACATGTCAGAACCCGCGGCCATCAGGGCCGGGCTGAAGATGGTACCCGGGCGTGGCAGGGGGGCTCGACAGCGCCCCCTGGAACGGGGTCCGAAAACATGGTCCATAAATCAAACACGCTTGCATGTAATAATATGAAACTCGGTACACATGTAGATCTCCTCGTTTCATATATACTTCACACTCTTACTTTTTACCCCAGCCCAACAGGAAGTCGGCTATTTAGGGTTGTTGGTAAAACACACGCAATGGAATGTGAAATACTCCTCCTAGAGAATTCAAACAAACGGCACGAAACTCGGTCAGCATGAAGTCAAGACATTGAGGATGAAAGTTTGCGAGGGGATTTTTGATATCTCGAACGGTTTGGCCGTGGCGAGGAAACAAAATTATGGCGAGAAACGTGAAACAGGAAGTGTGTCATAACTACTGCATACATTAACTGATCTTGATGAAACTTCAACAGTGTGTTCGTTGTAAGAGGCCGATCACATGGATGTGACTATTGTGAGTCAAAATTATAGCGCCACCAACTGGCAGCAGGAAGTGTGTCACTTCCTAAATGCTTTGAAATCACCCTCTTATTTTTACCCGATTTGCTTCAAACTTTATGTGTATAATGTAAACACACGCCAGATGTAGACCTGTGAAAGGATTATTGATATCTTAGATACTGTTGCCGTGGCAACACATCAAACTTTAATATTCTTGTTTGATGCTTTTGAGACTCTTAGCATGCTTGAAATTGCATGAAACTCGACAGACACAGGTATGCATATGGTTCAGATCAAGCCGGACAACTTTCTAATTAACTGTCATTAGCTCAGACCAAGAGGAAGTCAGATATTTTGGTTTGAATGTGGATGTTTCTGAGAATTTTCTCTCCCTCTCCCTCTGACAGAGAGAATGCACCCTGCCATTCGTGTGTGTCTGTGTGGGGAGGGGGGGAGGGGCTCTTTTAGTTTAAACACAAAATTATACATAGGGCCATACTGCCCTCTTGTGTCCAAAATTATATTTATATATACATTATACATATATTTGGTATGTGACTGAGGACCGAGAGCTTTTAAATACGGGACATTGATAATGGCCACGTGCAGAGCGCTCGAGGGAATTCCTATGGAAGTAGGAATGAACTAAAAAACGTTCGCTCTGTTCTGCTCGCTCGTCGCCATGGACGCGCACCATTATGAATGCCAGTGCAGCCGCATACTTTTTAGTGTCACTTTAAAATTAGTGCAATAACGGGGCCGATTGCTTGAATTGTGAGTTCAATAGTCTATTATTTTTCACGGAAAACACAACAACAAAAGAGTACAAGGATAGATTCGCTGAAATAGGGGCTTTTACATAAAATAGCCTATTCCGTCATCATCTTTTCAGTCAGCTCTTCACTCTCGTGATTAATGAAATTTGACTCCTGTTGCTGATATTTGCTGCAACTTTCGTTCCGCTCACAATTTAGTAAGCAAACACGCTTCAAATGTGTTTTTATTTTATTTTTGTGTATATATATGTGTGTGTATATATATGTGTGTATATATATATATATATATATATATATATATATATATATATATATATATATATAGCTTATGTTTCAAATATGAGTTAATTAACAATCGTTGGAAAGAATGATACTTTTAATATCACTAAACCGTCATTAGGTGTCGCCAGGCGACCGTCTTAATGAGCGAGTCATTGATTCATTCGTTCAAACGATTCGTTCGAACGGCTGAGTCATTCATGAATGAGACAGATTATGGATTGGTCGTTGAATCTTTGAGTCAACCGATTCGTTCAAAATGCTGAATCATTCAGTAATG